ATAATTGTGATACACATAGTGATCATCTGAGTAATAATATGCTAAATCTAGATGTATTAAATACATAATGATCATCTATATATTCAGAGTGAAATTGATCTTCTTAAAAATATAATGCAAAATAAAGATTTAAGCTAAAAGAAATCTAAAGAAAGATAATCCAATCAAAATTATTATACTAATAATAATAATATATTTTTTCTAAATATTATAATTATAATATAATTTATATAATAAAAATTATAAAAAATTATCTGAATTAAAAAGAATATTAAAATTTAATTTAATTTTAAATATTATAATCTGAATAATTAATATTAATAAAATTATTTAAATTTTATTTTTATATTTTTAAAATAATAATTATTTCTAAGTTTAATTTGAATTTATTATAATTTAAAGTAATAAGTATTTCATAATTAAAATTTTTTATATAAAATTAAGAATTAATTTTAATTTCTTTTAAATAATCTGTTTTAAGTTTGAATATAAATTCAAATTCTTTAAAAATCTGATTCAAAATTGAAATTAGACTTAAATTTAATAAAAAGTCTGATTCTATTATAATAATATCAAGAGAAATAATATTAAAAGTTATAATTTTTATAAATAAATAAGAAGTTAATAATAGAAAGAAATAATTATATAATTAATTCTGAACTTTGATTAATAATCTTATATATTTTTATATTATATAAAACAACATTTATTATAAATAACTTGAGAAATAAAATAACATTTGTTTTCATGATTTAAATAAAATTAAAATAGAAATGGTTGTCCAAAAATGCCTAATCCAACCAATCATTTTAAACGATTATTACATCATCTGATAAACTGGAGTTTGTATTAGCTAACACTACTTCAATACTTGTAGATTCTACAATTTTTTCTGTTTCAGCAGCTTCAGTTTTTTCTAACTTTGGAGCAATCGAAGATGACGACGACTCATTGACAATAATATCTTGTGCATGCTGCTCAATTATTTCGAATCCTGATTGCAAATTACTTTCAGATGTCAATTCTTGAGACAAATTGTTGTCAGGTAGCGATGATGATTGATTCGAAGACGAAGTTGGAGGAAATAGTTCATCTTTTAGTTTTGGTAAAAACTTATCTATCTTTGTCCAAGTGATATTCCATAACTCTATTGGAGTTCGATTAGAAGCTTTATTAGGTTCGTCCAAAGTAGTAGTTGTTTCGTTTGGTGATATCGGAGGATTAAGGATCCCGGATGTAGACATGACCAGTAGCATATTTTTAAGAGATTCAGGAATCGCCTCTATCTATAAAAGATAAAAGACATTAAATTTTATATATTATATTTAAAATATTCTTATTCATATATTTACCAATGACTCATTTTCACCATTATCCATATAACGTTCCATTATGTCCAATATTTGTGACCATAACGACGTTAATCCTCCCCATTCAGCAAGCTTATTCAGATAATGTAAAAAAATTTTGCATAGTAGTGCAGATGCCCTCATTCGAGTCTCTTCCATACCCACAGGATCAGCTTCAAATATTTCTGGCTTTAAAAGTTGATCTAACAATGGAAATAGTACAACATCAAATATGACTACCCATTCTGTAACTCCATGCGATACCAGTTCTGGATCAAGTAATGCCCGTTGAAGGTATGTTATAGCATATTGCCTCACATCACGGCAAGGATTATAACATTGTTGGCTTAAGCCAGTCAATATAGGAAGCCAATAAGTAGACCAAGCTAACAGAAATTTTAAAAATTAAATTGAGCAAACATTTACTGATTTTTTTTATTTTTGTGAAAATTTTCTTACCTTCACCAGGAGATGCTTCAGAATCATTTAATAATTTTGGGATCTCGATATACAACTGGTATAATAGTTCAACTGCTCTACGAGCTCTTTCGATGATAGCTGTTTGTCTAATGAATTCAAATCAATGAATTTATTGAAATGTTATTAAACTGTTCATTAATTAAATTCAAATAAATATGCCAAAAATAATTAACACGAAAGACCCACGTTTTAGAAATACGGAACCTAGAATTTTTATTATAATCGTTATGTATTTCACTTCCTCCTGTAAAGGTAGCAGCTGATGCAAACTCTGTTAAGAGTTCAACACTTTCACTGAAATTATGAATGCTAATATTCTTGTGTTCGCCAACAAGACATGCGATTGTCTCAAAAGAATATTTTGATGCTTGAGGGTGATTTGATGTCGCACTAAGTAAATAAAATACAGTTTCCCAAGGTGCTTTTCCTCTAAAAATGATGAAAAAAATTAGAAATAATAAGCAATAAAATTAAGGCCAAATAGAATTTACCTTATGTAAGAAGCATCTGATTTGATAAGATTGAGAATCCCGGCCATCATTTGTTCACCTACAGCATTGATGACCTCTCGTGGCAACGCTTTTAGGAGTTCTAACGATTGAAGAACATCAGATACCATTTCTTCCTATAATTAATTAGTTGAGTAGAAATTAGATTAAGCATAATAATATCTTTTAGATAAATGGTCTTTCACTATACCTTATGAGTTAACCGAATACACAATCTTAAAAGTGCAACAACAGTTCTTTCAACCAAAAGAATGCTATGATTTTGTGAATTAATTAAAATATCGGAAATATGCTCAAATATAATTGGCCTATTCAAATATATAAATGCAAAACCAAGAGTCATTATCAGCCTAAAAATAAGATAAACGAAATATGATATTTAACATTCTGACCATAAATACTGGATGCGATCGCGATTTTGTAATGTAACATTAATCATAAGTTCCAGGAAAAATATCGCAGCTGGGTCGTAAGGTATTGGAGCATCAGTCTGTGTAGTAGTTTTTGATGCAGGTTGATTAATAGATACGGGAGTTGACGATCGTTGCAGATTCTTAGAGTCACTAGTCAAAAATCCATCAGCAATAAATTTAATTGCATTCATAAGATGTTCGAGAGAATCCTCCTCTAAAAGTCTGTCAGAAAATTTTTTTAGTTTTTAAGAAAAATAAATGAAATTTATAGGGAGAAATAAAAGTTACCTAATGTCCGCAAAAAGATCATCTAATCGACAAACCATAACACATTCAGTTGTACACATAGTAAGCTCAATCTCTTCTTCGGTAGGTTCATTTCGTAAATACTCATAATTACTAGAATATGGTGATAACAAATATGAAGAGAGAGTGGATAACAAAGAATTATCGCGATTTCTTTCTTGTTTTGTTAATGAAGCATTTTTAGGTTTTAATGGGATTGTGGTTTTTCCAGCCAAAAAATCTTCAACTTGAAGCATTGAACTTGGCAATAACGAATTAATGAAGAGATTTTTGAAGATCTCTAAAATCTGAACGAGAAGAATATTTAGAAATTAGAAAGATGCTGTTATAAAAATGATCACATAGAGAATTCATCAAATTAAATTCTTACATATTTCCATCCTTCCCTTAGCATATTTCCATGCTCATTAGCAACCGCAAATAATACGACTGCTGCTAATTGTCCTTTGTAGTTCCGTCCAAATTGTATAGAGAGTTCGCTAACTGTTAACTCAGTATCTTGGACTTTTACGGGGATATTTGCATTCCCATTTGCAAATCTGGTTTCAAGTAAGCCAGTTAATTTTACAAGTGACATTATAATATAATCAAAAACATCTAGTAAGTGATAATGTGCTGAAATCAACGCGCATTGATGAAATCCAGTTATAGCTTTCTGAAGTATATTATCATCCGACGCAGAATTAAAAGCTATAATATATTAAAAATTAATGACATGACCTTTAAACAAAATCAAAAGCTTTTATTTACAATAAGAATACCATAAATAATTGCTGCTATTATAGGTTTCCATGCAACCATAAACATATCTTTGTCATACAAAGCTACATCACATATTATCAATGGACCTAAAATAGATGTACATAATAATGTAAATAAAAATAATCAATCGAATAAAATTTTAAATAAACGCATAATATTACCAGCACTCTCCGCTCTGCGCAATAACTCTTTCCAAGCATAATTGAAACCCAATTGTCCTTCATGCTCTTCAGGCATAACAATCTCCTTTCCCCGAATAGCCTCATAGATTGCTTGCTGATATGAGTATCAAAACGAAAAATTAGTATAATTTCTTTATCGCAGATAAAAGTTATCACCAATAATTAATTTACCAAATATTCTGGAGGAAAATTTTCACCATTGTTTTCATTGCGAAGATTTTTCATATAATCCTCAAGTGTCATTCTACGCTAGATAAAACGGAAAAACTTGTCTTTAATATATCAAATTTTGCGTGTCATAATTTACATTTTTTACTTACACGAACTTGAGGATTATGTAAATCTGTATTTAACATAATGACTGAAAACGATAAAATAAAGGCAGCATCTCGTGATGCAATTTCCGCTTGTTATAATAAAAAAGCAATTTGAAGGTTTGATATTTAGCTTATAAAAAATGCGATGGTAAATACGAAGAATATTAACAATAACTTACAAGGTCCAGAAGCAAAATATGTTTCTGCGAAAACTTCCATTATTCTAGAAATTTGTTGTGCTTCACCAGGTAATCGAAATGTCTCAAGCATCTCTCGCAAAGCTTCATCCATACGTTTCTGAGGTCAAAAAACATTTTCCATCAAAGTATTAGAGTAGCGAAGTAATAATGGTCGAGGACACTTACCCCGCTAAAGTCAAATAGTTCCACAAAAGCTTTAAGAATATCGATATTTGAAGGTTTTGAAAGAAAATCCCCAAGATGCTTCTTATTGA